CTAGTTCTTGTCTTGCCATGGCAAGTAAATTTCAGTTGAATTCATCAAAGCTAAATTTGTCCCCTCGATCAAAGCTACAGTAAGCACCCATCCATCACCTTGTGCTTTGACCCCATGATCACTTCCTGCCATAACATTGCGGCAAATCTAAGACACCATAATACATTGCAAAAACAAGGAAAAAAAAAAATTACATTCCAATTTTTACACAAGCCCAACTAAATGGTTATTACCTCTTCGTAATCGAGCCTCCACAAAGTGTGAAATCATGAAATATACGCGTTCCAACTGAAGAATCACATGTGATAACTTCTCCAAAACTGTCGGGTTAATCAAGTCCTTGAAATTCCAACCCTTGCAGCTTGTTAGATTTACATAGAAATATGTGAACGGCGACATATAACAACATACAAACGGTCGAGAGCACTGTGAAATTCCAGAAATAATGCACCGCTAGTTCTCGAATCGGATTCTTGCTCGGTCTCCATAGTTACCAACACCTGTTCTTTGTCCGAACTAGCTTTGACAACTTTGAACTTTTGAGACAACAAGGCTGAGATTGATCGAAACTTTCTTTCAGTCCCTGCTTTACCCCACTCTCGATCACCCCTTTCATCATCGTGCTTTGACTAAAGTTGACAGAAAAAGACACGACAAGACGAGCCAACTGGTTCTCGGATGATAACATAACACCTGGCATTATCTTATAAAGCAATTGTACTTTGAAAGTGTTTCCATACGGGACATCTGCTGTGCTCACACTAACAAGAACGGCAAATTCATTATCGTATGCCTTAACATATGTTTGCTCCTCGGTGGCTCTAATGGCCTTCACTAATTTGGTTGCTGCTTTTATATATGTAACAACTCTTCTCAAACCTTCCGATTCCCATTTCCAAGGGCTTTCTTGCAATTCAGTCATCCCTTACAAGTCAGCTAAATTCATCTTGAACTCTGAATCGGGAGCAAATATAACCATATTTAGATCCTTTGGTGAAACCTCGTATGTCTGGTCGATTAGGATGCCACCTTGGAGATTATCAGGCATATGTACGTTTTCATTCTTGGATTGCAAGAGCTCCATCAATTCCTGGAAATTGGAGGAGCTGGGAAGCTCCATTTTACAATCTTCGTAATCGGATGGAGTAGATAACTCTGATGGACTTTCATTACGGGATGTTTTATCCTTTTTGTACAGGAATTTTTCCAAACGGCCAGCGAGTGCCTTTATCAAATGTTTCCCATCAAGTGTCTTTTTGGATGTAGAATCAGGTGCATGAACTTGGGTATCATGAGATGGACCGATTTTACCTTCTGAATACAACGAATGACTAGCTTCAGCTGGATTGTGATCTTTTCCATGCAGGGATAGAGCAAGAAGAAGTTTCCCTACATTGGTAGCATAAAAGTTCCGTAACTCGTATTCCATGACTATACCCTAACCATATATGGTGAGAACATTTCAAGAACAACAAATATATAGTAACATAAGACTTTAGTGAACCTGTTTTAAATTCTATAGCTAAGCTGTACACAAGGAAGTTAAAGGAGCGTTCATATTAGTGAACTCCATACACATCCAATTAAGAACACCCTTCTCATATAAACATGTCATTTTTTCTCTTCACTCACTTGAGATGTTATCTCTATCCACCCTTCTCATATTAACATGGCATCTCGCAACTCGCAGCCGAACTCGCAGCTGACATGTTATCTCTATTGTTAGTACTTTCAAACTAATTACAAGTTGCTTATGTGATTATTCTTTAAATCTCCATTTGCGAGGCCAGATTTTTGGACGATGGTGTGATGTAGGCTGAACACATTTTGTCTGGGGGGCGTTTTTTGTATTCTCAGGCAAATCGATAGTAGTGAGTTTTACAATTTTTTGTTGGGGTTATTTGCTGTAAGATGTGTTTGTGTATATACCTTCATTGTCCTTTTGGATATGCTTGATAATTTGTGTTTTTATTGTAGTCTATTTTGTTTTGCTACAATTCTTTGACGGGCTGATGAGCTCGAAAGAGAGCTTCTGCTGTTACTCTTCATATTTTTCGGGTATTTTAGTTACCTTAATTGGGCTTTGATCAAAGCCCGACCGAGCTTCTGCTGTTACTCTCTCAAACATTTCTGCTGTTACTCTTCATTATTATTATTATTTGGAAGAAAACAACAACAACAACAACAAAGCCTTTTAGTCCCAAACAAGTTGGGGTAGGCTAGAGATGAAACCCAATAGAAACAGTAGTAAAAAAAAAAAAAGATTGGAGCAAAAGAGAAAGGAGCAAAAGTCACGGTTCCGGCACGTTGATCGCTAGTCTCCAAGCGTCCTATCC